AAGTATTGCTCTCCTGTGGTAAGGGTGTTGGCCCAAGACTTTCAACGATCGAGCTCGATGTAAGCAGTAAGGGAATTCGAACTCCGACGAAAAATTCCCTGGAAACAATTAGGAGTAGTGTTTAGAATATCCCTCAAAGTCTTTTCGACTATTGTCGTGAGGTCAAGCAGCCTTCGGTTCGGAGCAGATTCGCGCCTTCGTTGTGAGATGTAGAATATGTAGTCAGGTAAGGTTGGACATCTTGAGCTGCTAGTCGAGATGACTGGTGATATCTTCTCATTCTTGATCAGGTCAAGTATTCTCGTGGTTCTTCAGAATAAACTCAAAATAAATTCAAGATTTCATCTTTTCTGTAAATTCTCTTCGACTCCGTACTGTCGGATCGATTCAGGGCCACCTCGGCGTCTTGCAGTCATTCTTTTTCTATTATGTTTCCTCTTTTTCTAAGCATCGACGATGCTTGGCGATCAGCAGGATCGCGACAGATGGGGTATTCGGTCGTGCGATGCCTCGTCGGAATAGTGTCATCTTAAGGCCACTGCTGTTAAGATTTTTTGTACTACAGTAGTACTACTGCTTCCGATGGAATTCAAGCTACTGCTGGCGTTAATGGTATTTTCAGTTTCTAAGGGAATATACTTTCTGTGGCGATTCTTGATCGTAGCACGAGAAACAACTCTCATCGGTCGTATCGATATTGGTAACAGGTCCTCGTCGGGAGGTTCCGCAGTTTATCGAATGTAACAAATCACGACAAATAACGCGACCTGATTTCGTGGTGGCGAGGTCGACGTTAACGATTGAGAGAGGATGGCGCTTTAGATAATCCGGATAATTTTTTGGTTATTATCTATCGTATCTACAATTAGATACGAAGTATAAGTTCCGATACCGGGACTCGAACCCGGGTCGCCTGGGTGAAAGCCAGGTATCCTAACCAGCTAGACTATATCGGATATATTTTGTGATGCATATGGAACGTGTGCAGCACTATATATATCTGATATAACCTAGACATCATATGATATGATGCATCAGGCGTTTCGCCTGAGGCGAATATACCGAAACGGCCCTCCCGGATACCTGAGGCACGTACTGAGTGATGAGAAACATTCCGAACACCTGGAGCCGACTGATCCCTATCTCGAGAATAGATCCCACCTCATGAAGTGACAATCGTGTTTTCAGGCGAGAAATCTTTCAATCATATGACATCGTATTTGGGGTCTTATTCGAGCACGCAGTTGCACGCGTGAAGGAAGCCCGTTTTCTCCATTGCTGGTTCATATTATCCTCTCTGTCGGTATGGGCGGTTGCTGCACGAGAAATTCGACTGGGACAATTTATTCATTGTTGTGTATTGTTCAGCGCTGCAATCGATGGAGACGGGCTGACGAGGACTGAATGTGTAGTTCCCTTAATCGAATACGGGGCTATCGTCGGAGCATTTCCAGCATGGAGAAATCGGGGGACTATCTTGATCAGTGGGGAGGACATGCAGTATGGCAGGTACTCCCAGGGAGAAGCAGCTGAGGATTTGAGAACCATCATTTGCAGGACTCCGCAGTTTTCAGGAGGTAGCAATCGCATAGCGGTAAATCCGTGGGGGATAATCCGTATAACGTGGGGAAAGCAGAAATAGGTAGATAGAATGTTTAGTCTTGCCTTGTTGGAGATATCCTGTATGTCAGTCAGGCTGACAGACCTGGCTTGATTATGCCGGGTCGATGGGCTACTAGCGAGCTTGTTAATCTCTGCTGCATGTACGGGTACAGGCTGTGTGTACTCGGTCATTCTACGACTGTTCCTCGCAACCTTGTGGATTCCTCCTGGGACAACGGATGTCGTAGTCGTATATGGAGCGATCACACTGCCGTGAGCGAGCTCTCACGAATCTGGATTGTCCTGTGCGCAGGCTGGTTGTCGTTAGTGTCTCTGTTTAACACCTCAGCGGCGATACGCCCTTCAACGGTCGGATAAGGCCTCATTGATACGGCTTCCGATCCCTTCCATAATTCGAAGGAGATGTGGTATATATTATGCATGACGTTACAGTTCAATTTCAACGCCCCTGAGAATTTTGGAGTTTAAAAATGCGAATGGAGTGGTATTGAATAACTGCGCCCGATAACATATCAGAGTTCTCCCTTTGGAATTTTCACATCTCATGGCTGCTAAGGACATACCCAGTGACCTCAAGAAGCAAATGCAACGAGCGCTCGTCAAAGTGAGGAAATACAAGATTGCTCGAGATCTTATTCCTTATTATTCCAGCATACTGATATTGTGGGAGAATCCAGTGGTGAAGTTGTCGATTTGATCGTCGGGGTGATCGATAAGCATACCACTCCTGATGGACTCAATATGGAGGTTTGTACGATTCCGCGCTTGGTCATGACTATGGTTGTATAGGAGATGCGGTTGTTGCATTAGAGCTCATTAGTGTCGAATGGAAGTACGGACAGTGTAGTTATTAGTACTCGGAGAATGGTCATTGGAGTGACTAGCAATTGTATCTGCAACAGCATTCTCCTGGATCGAATAGACTCCTAAGTTGTCTATGCGTTCGATTGTTCAGGCAGCAGCGCAGGTGATTAAAGACTCTCTTGATAAGCAATACGGTGCGGCGTGGCATTGTGTGATCGGCAAGGGGTTCAGCTACGACATCACGTCACAGGTGAACAGCGGCTTGGACTTGTTCCATTCAGTGGAATATCGATAGAAACTCCTTTAATGGTGGGCTGCTGCTCTCATCGAGATCACTTCTCAAATTGTTGAGCATTTTCGGCTCATTAAGATGCACAATAGTCTTGTGCGTGCGTGCTGTCTCAAGAGAAGTGTTATACTAGAAATGAGTGTAGACAACAACCAGACAGTATGAAGCGATGGGTGGTTGAATCTTAAATATTAATAGCAACCAAATCCCTGTCACTAGCAGACGTCCTTTATTCGAATGAGATCATATGAAGTCATCTTCTCAGAACGGTTCGTTAATGTACTGCTACTACCAGGGAGACATGGCCATATTAGTGTTCAAATGCTGAGGTTGTCGATCACATATTCCGGATGGAGCCGAGTTAAAGTTGGTCAATTACAATACTTAATAACTTCCTGTTCTTTATCTCTCTGTGGTCTGCCAGGGTAGGATGTCCCACCGTAGATATTGAGGATAGTTCGGAGAGGTGTGGTATGATGATGTACTGCTAATAATTTGGTCGAGCACTTCCTTGCGTCGCTGCGGATCGAGAATAGAAAGAGTGGTGGAAAATGGTTGGTTTTACATCACAATTCTCATAATCTTATTCCAGTCGAGATTAGGGGTTTTCTCAATGAGGGCGATCATGTCGATAAGTGAGTACTGCATCACTAGGTCGAAGAATGATAAGTTTATTGCGACCGATCAAGCCTTGGGCATGTAGGATGGCGTTTCTCTCATTCGAGATCTATCTTACAATAAATAACTAATTTTTGGAAAATCATTCCACGCAGTGGATGTCCACACGTCAGATGATGACCATCGCAATGCAATGGAGTTTCACCCGTTTTACGTGAAGTGTCGTCGTAAAACTGGGTGGAAAACGCGATATTCGCGGTGATATGCAGTAGTCGTAGAATATGTTCCTCATATCACTAGGTGAAACTCCAATGTTCAATTCATTGGAGTTTCACCCGTTTTACGTAAAACTGGGTGGAAAACACGATATTCGCGGCCTGTAGTAGCCGTGAAATATGTTTTTCACCAGCTTTTTTCATATCACGGGTGAAACTCCAATGTTTTGATTGATCCTTATTGGATCCAAATCTGAACTGTTTGCCGAGTGCATGCAGAGCGACAAAGCAAGCAAGGAGTAGAATCGAATATAACCAACTTCGTTCGCTGAGCATTTGAAGCGGTTATCTTTTTGCTGAGTTCATGGTTGCTGATCCGGAAACCGTTCAAGACACTACTACACCTCTTCATGTTGATAGAGACGTAGAAGTGGACTTCTCTATGTGAGGGGTTAGTGGGAGCTCTCACTCATGAGCTAGGTTGTGATAGGTATAAGAAGTTGGCTGATAGTATCCATCCACCTTATCAAAGCCCCTCTGTTCTACTAGACTGCATGGTCGAGCAAGTCGGTGCTACGATTAGGAGTGAATCCGCGGGTGAGTAAATTGAATGTTACGATATGCAGTGTCGGGATATGTGTTCGCTTCTCCCAACTGAGATTGGGAGCTTTCTGACTGGCTATACAGATCTGCATGCAAGCTCGGTAGAAGTGTAATGGAAATTCTCCTAAATTTGCTTAAAATTATTATTTTGTAACTAATACATGTAGTTGACCATGTGCATAATTACCAACACTATCGAAAAGTTCCCCTTATAAAAGAATTCTCAAGATCAATGATCGTTTGAAAAAATGTGATCGCGAAGCGAAGCATATATCCGTGAACATATCGTTTGGTCTTATCTCCTGTCTGTGCTAAAACTGCGGCTCTGCTACTGATCGATTAAGCTTTAGTTCTCCATAGACTTCAAAGGCTAGTTGTTTTTATATGATGTTGAGTATAGAAGGAACACGTCTCAATAGGATCTATCGCATCTTGAATTCAATCCAGGATATCAAATTTCGCGGTCCGAAAGTCGCTAGTTTGACGACTTGTCCTCTACTCTTACTCTGTAACTAATAGTCAGAACGCTTTAATTCCCCGCGGACTTCTGATCCTGATGGAAGGGTATTCTCATCTGTCGTAGGTGTTGCTATTGTTGGTGGTGAGGAATGTAAGAGATACGAAGCTCGAAAGCTATCCGAGTAAGGGGGATGCGTTCTCTGAATGGTTTCCCCGGGACAATACTTCGTCGCTTCATTATTGCTGCGTGTCTGTCGTTGCTTCCGCTGATATCAACTTGAATTTTCATCGGTATGATTCATGTAATCTTACCTGTTTATAGCATTATTCTCATATATTATGCGGTATAGTTTCAGATCGATTCTTATTAATTTTCTACAGTTGCATATGAGATTGGCTAACACTTTGTAGATATTGAATATGTTCATAATCAAGTAGTATGCTATACATGAACGATGAATAATATTAAATATTGCGATATTCTATAGTGGAGTTTCACCCTAGTGATATGAAAAAAATAGTGAAAAACATATTTCACGACTACTGCATAGTGTGAATATCGCCGCGTTTTCCACCGAGTTTTTCGCCACTTCACGTGAAACGGGTGAAACTCCAATAGATTACTCCAAGGAAAAGTCGCAGGTATATCGAAGCAATAGCACAAGACTGGGGCGTATCGAAAGAAGATAAGAAGTCCGATACTGATGACTCCGATACGAATCCTTATCATCATCTGGAGGATACTGTTGTGAGTTTGGCGGTGCATATGTTCGCGTATTTGGATTTTGTCAGCTTCCCAGTTTGGATGATTTGAAGTGTCGTTTTAGAGGTGTGGAGATGTTTGGGCATGAAAGAGTTGATGCTGTCGCTAAGAGGGTGGGGACGGGATACTGTTCTTGGATGGCGTGCACTTGTTAAGGAAGAACTGTATAAAATAATCACGATAGAATGCTACTTTCCTCAGCTGGGCGTAGTAGGAGTTCCCTGAACAGATTATATTTCCCAAAAATGTACGGGCATTGCTCTTCGCCGTCTTATGAAAGGGTCAGTTGCAGGCTTCTATGTTGTGATGTTATCAAAGGCATACGATTTATCTAACGATCATGCGACTATCAACGATAACATCACAAACGATTATCATTGGAGTTTCACGTGAGGTGGCGTGAAAATCGGTGAAAAACGCGGCGATATTCACACTATGCAGTAGTCGTGAAATATGTTTTTCACTAGTGTTATTCATATCACTAGGGTGAGACTCCATTGTGATAATCGTTTGTGTTGGTGGTCATTAATACCACACTGTAGTAGTTCTCTGCTCGAGTACCTTTTCACTTACTGCCACTCCTGCTAACGTTCAGATGTAAATGTGTATCAGGTTGATCATTGTTTTCGTATCCCTGATACTCCAACCGTGGGACAGTCGGAGCCTCTTACTGCTGATCAGAGAAGGGCTCTGAGGACTAAAATAGTAGGTGGCGAAATTCCATTATCAAAAACGGTTTGGTCTTCATCTGGAAATATGATATCCCGAAACGACGAAGGAAATGGCATTAAAACCGATTTGAAAAAAAACCAGAAAAAAATGGATCTTTGAAACGAATGAAGAACTTTTTGGGAATATTTCTTCCCAAAAATTTATTTCTCGGCCTCAGATTCCCTTCATGCCGAAGCGATTAAGTCGGGCCTCTATCGAAAGGTTGTTGCTGCTAACAGAATTTGCTAAGTTGATGAATTCCGTTACACCTGTCAAAAAAGGGCACGTGGGAGACTGCAGTTTAGCGTGAGAAACTTCTATGCTGTTGTGGTCGATTCAACGTCAGCTCGCTGATCGACCGAACGGTGTGTGAGAAGATTCCTATTGGGTTGTTGAGGCAGCGACTTGGTGCGCTGATATACGGCAGGGCGGCGGCTGAGCCCTACCTAGTTACACGTTATTGGTCTAGATATGATGCTACGCTTATTGCCATGTAAGTGATATGGGAGAGTCGTATATGCAATGTGAGATTATATGGTCGACTATACGTGTCGGTGACAATATGGGAATTTTGGGTATTATCCCTAGTTCCTGTCAGCGTGGGAATATATGTCCACTTCCCTCAACTAAGCTCAGGATTTTCCTAAGTATAGGAGTTTATATATGAATTCAGGTGAAATATACAGAAACTAATGATAATTTTTCAAAATTTCCTCAGAATTTCCCTGTTGTCACCAACGCATGTGGTTGACCATGTGCATACTTTTCCACGCTAGTTCCTGTACAGTTCTACCCTAATTCGTACATAAACTCCTAAGATTAGTGAGAAAACTCGCGAGCCCAGATGAAGGAAGCGAACGCATATTCGGACAGTGTTTGTATGGCTATGATGATTAGTTATTATCCGACGCCTCCAGGAAGGATGTGTATGCATACATGGAGAGAAGAAGTTGAAGTCGGTGAGAAAGAAGAGGAGGAAGTGAGCAGGGGTCTGGGATTATATGCATATGGTCAACTACGTGTGTTGATGGGAAACTTCGTCGCGAAGTTTGTCAGGCAAAGTGAAAATTCTGGAAGAAAATTAAGGGAGATTCCTTCTGTTTGTTGCGCATTTCCACCAGAAATAGTATGTAAACTTCAATGGTGAGTAAGGAGAGTATTTCTGAGCTCAGCCGGGGGAAGCGAACATGTATTGCTGCAACACTGGGTATGGTCTTACCTAGTAAGGAGGTGTCTTTGAATAAGATTAAGGGTAGTTTGTCTCTATTACGATTATCAAAATATGAAATAAAATACAATTCGTAATCATATTAACAATAAAGTTTCACCCGTTTAATGCTAAATGGCGTAATACTCCATGCTATTACAGGACGTATATATTTTTCCGTGATCGATAACACACTTGCTTTCCACAAAGTGAATCGTAAGGAATATGTTTTTCACTAGAGTTTTCTTCATTTCACGGGCGGAACTCCAATATTCTGATCACGGTGAGATGATACTTATAATGTAAATCATGAATTGTTCATCATAAGGAATATGCGCTAATGCTGATAATATAGTTGAAGGGTATACCTTATAGGAGTCAGAGCAGAAGGAAAACATCTGCAGGAATTACGGTAAAATTGTATTAATATTGATCATACAAATTGCAAGCTACTCAAGGAGCTTATTATACGTTAATGTCCCAAAGTGTTTATGGTTATTGTTAGGAATCAATGCAGGAGGAAAACGAAGTCGATGCGGATGGCCAGGCCGCGGAAGATCCAAATGCTGATTTGCAGGCATCTAAGGTAAGCAAGAAAGGCGGCCATAATAGAGTCTATGGTAAGCTCTCAGGGTCCTCAGTATGAAATTCGGGAAGCCGTCGAGAAATGTTATGTGCCGGCTGATGGGAGTGTGATTATTTCAACAAGGTTTACTCGTAAGGCTTGGTTTTACGTTATGGTTTGGTGAGGTATGTCAGGTACGAGTGCGATCGGGAAGACCCCTGTGGACTGTGATGCGGGTAAGTGTTTTTGAATCGATTTAATTGGAAATATACATCCGCTCGCCTCAGCTGAGCTCAGGAGTTTCCTCACTTATTATTAAAGTTTGCATACAAATTCAGATGGAAGTGTATAGAATTCAATGAGAATTCCCAGAAATTTTAGAAGTTTGACATTGTCACCAACATATGTAGTTGACCATGTATTTATTTTCGCACATTGAATTTGGCACTGTCTCCTCTACATTGCCGAATCTTGGTCAGACTTAAAATTCTCAGATTGATCAGATGAGTTCAAAATGTTAGTGTTGGTATCAGCAGATGCCTTCTCTCATCTCGTTTGGCCTTCGGCCGTGTCTGTTGAGCTCGTTCGAAGCAGGAACGACATATTTCAGGTGCAGAGGAGAAAGCGATGGAAGAGGAAACCCTGGTAGCAGGGGAGGAGGGGAACGATGATGATATTCAGCACGAGGATGAATTTAACAGGTGGGGTTTACTTCATGATGTTGATCTTTTACTGTATGTGCTTTAGGGAGCTCATATGCAGTAGACGAGTTGCGAAGGCATTTGTGAAGGGCTGCACTCTGAGGGTTGGGGAATCGTACGTGTCGTGCGTGTTTGAGGTGAACAGTTTCACGGTTGCTCTTCCTTCCAGTGTGGATATGTATACATGGTCTGCTACATGTGATGCTGACAATATGATAATTGTCAGGAAATGTCGTTGGTTTTTGTACAATTTTAACTTCTGTAATTCGTGGGGAAACTCCTGAGCTCAGCTGAGGAAAGCGAACATAATTTCTCCCAACACTGCTTTCCTCCTCACGGATGGGGGAAGTAGGATTTTATATTTTACCTGATCTCGTTCATGCAGATCAGGTGAAGTTGCCTTTTCGTGTACTGTATGCCACGACACGAATGGCTTTCAGGATTCATCTCGCTTCACCGTCACCCGAGAGGGAGAGAACGGGTTCGTGCTCATGTATACTCCTTTGAAAGCTACATGGGTTACACTTTGTCCTCATCAAGGTTGGCTACCTGTCTGTGGATACCATTCCTTGTTCGTATCACAGGTATTGAATTGAAACCTCAAAAGGTGACGTTTGAGAAACCGTTGATGCGGATGGTCCCCAACGCTCGCTGCGGCGATTTAGTGTAAACTGTTGAAAGTGTCATTATTCACTAGAGTTGTTGTAGATGTGACGTTGAGACAAGTAGAAGAGTATTTCCCAAGGGTGTTATCATGCGGGAGTTGACGAGTGGGAGGAAGGAGTTGTTCTATCCTGATGGTCAGTGGAGGATGAAATGCAGTCGTTGGAATCTGTTTTCATATATAGTCTAGGGTGATTATATTCATCACAATCGATGAAATATTAGTAGTTTTATAGTATGATTCGAAATTGGCATGTTACCGTTGTTGGCACTGTTTATCGCAGTATAGTATATACTATGGATATAGCATCGAACCACAATTTGAAGTGTAGTCGAGGACCTTGCGAGAACTGCCAGGAATCGGGAGCCGGTATAGCTCCGTACCGGTTTCTGGGGATCATGCTAGCTCTTAGGTATTTACCTGAGAGGATTTGCAGAGTCTAGCAGACTTGGGGGATTTTCCCAAATGATGGGAATTCGGCGGTCGAAAATTGCAAAATGAAGTTTATTCCCGCTTATCGTGCATAAAGGGTAGCGTATAGTTGAGTGATAATAATGATTCATTACTAATGAGAATTAGAGATGGGAGTTTCGATTCAGCTGATAATATATGATGAGCAGGATACTCTTTGGTGATGCCCCTCATTCAGGTACGTTCAGCTATCGAGACCCGACTCCTGAGGAGCTGGCCGGCTCGTTTCACCTTCTAGTAGATTCTCGTCCGGGGATGTGGATTGTTATAAAACCTAGGAGCGGTGAAATGTGAGGAACACCAGTGCGTGTCAATTTGATATGCAAATGTGCGACATTTCTCGGGATTCACAACTTGTTCACTATAGTTCGTTCTCCAAAACAACACACATTCTCATATGGATTGATACGTACTGTATATAGTGTTCTCCCAAGGTATAGACGCTGGAACTGTCCGCAGCGACCTGAGCCTCTATCACAAGTAGTTGGTGAGGGAGAGGAAGAGCAGACGAAGGTTGATGCAGAGTTCCAAGCGGCAGAGAAGAGGTGAGATCTGGACTGTTTCGTGTTGGTGACGGCATCAGAAGAACTACTTTTTGAAAGTAGAAATTATATGAATATTTTAAGGGAATTCAACGTAGTTTCAAATTGAATTTTTAGATAGCGGATTTTGGAAGCTTTCAAATATTGATACAGGTACTCTGATGAGATCAAGTGCTTAGTTGAAGGAGGTATGTGTGAGGAGGAACTCGACACGAAGGGTAGGGGCGGACCTCTCCTGAAGAACTGTCATCAGTCACCACAGAAAGTTTCATTTCTCTTACCAGTGTTGTGAAATATGCTTTCTTTTCTCAGCTGAGCTCGAGAGTTTCTCCATAACATTATGAGGATCTTCACGCGACCGTTTTGTGTGTACTATATGCGACTGATTTCTTCAGCTAGGCCCGCAAGTTTCCCCACTATATTGTACTTCTCTACCCCGACTTGGGTGTTAAGTCTACACACTATTCAGGGTAGAAGAGTGCAAAAACAAACGAGAATTTCCCGTGATTTTCCCATTCTCATCAGCACATCGTGTGGACCACGTGCATTTTTTCTCACACTGTTTATTGCTGAATCAGTTCCTACTGCGACCCAAGTTGATCCTGATAGCGGCGATGAGATCGTCACTAATAACCTTGGCACGATGATTATCACTACGCGAGATGGGTCTACGCGAACTGTGAGGTTAAAAATCGTTATAGTGGCGTTTGTCAGCTTCCCTCAGGTGGTATTTCCTGATCATACACGCATCATCACAGAGAGGCTCGGAGGACAGGAGGAAAGAATTACAATATCGAAGCTTGGGACGCCACTATGTAGCATTAGCAGGACGGACTCGAGTGAAATGGTGAGGTTGAGGCTGGGAGTCGTCGTGCATCGGGACGGCTATGAGCTATGGCTCCTCTCCTTCCTACTACTACTCTTGGTACTGGTATGTGATTGTAGTGCGTGATATCATTGGAGGACAGCTCGAAGATCTCCGTTGAATTCGATGGAGAAGAGAAAAGGGTAACCGTCGAGAGGCCAGATACGAGAGAGGCCATCGAGATCGATGCGATTACTGGTAGGAGTAAATATATTGGCTCGTCGGATTACTCTCTAGATCTACTGAGCCTTGATGACGATAATGATGTTGTGATTATAATGGTGATACATCTAATAATATATCGTTCTTACATATATGAATCTCAATGTAAACATTTCTCATTTTATGATTCGGCTGAGGCCTGTAGTAGCATTCTATCCCACTTCGTCTTCTGAGGTGATAGCTCCGAGATCACTCCGATAACTGGCAATGTGAATGTCACTAATTCAGAACTTGTGGTTGAGATGGGGTAGATAGATGTCGATATTGGTCGATAATGATAATCATTCTAAGATATCGCCTCTCACGGTTGGCAGTATCAATGTTGACCATATCAAATTCAGCACATTCTCCGTGGAGTGGTATTGGTAAATCGAATCTATCAATACCGAATATTGCCGAAATTTTTAATGGCTATGGTTTCCACTACGGATACTCCTCCAGGTAAAACAGTGGTAGTTGGCACCCCGTACGTTTCTGAATTCATCGAGCATGCTGATGACGGTGGTTCGTTCATGTTGAGATGCGTCGATAATGAGAGGAATTCATTCGAGATAGATGGCAGGACGAATCGCTGTACGACCTTCGACATCGCTCGGGATCTGACAGTCATTTGCATAGGTTCGGTGAGATTGGCGACGTCGTTGGGCGAATCGAAGGACATGCCTTCCCCTAGGCCTGGAGCGCCTTTAGCTGAGGTTCCACCTTCGATGACGGCTCTATATCATGCTGATAAAGACGTAGGTGGGACGACCCAATCTTGCTATAGAGAATCTTTCTGTTTGCTTATAGACCGGTAATTGAACTTTTGAGCTTCACACTATGTCGCTTGTGAATAGTAATGGAGTATTTCGTATTTGACTTGAAGCGATCGATGGAGTTGTCATGTACGAGGTCGAGATTATCATTACACTGTTGAAAGGTTGATAGTTTCCCTCGTTACCGTTGTAAAGTCATACACGTAGTCCATGTGGATATTGCATCGATACCATCTTCATGTCCGATCAGTTCCTACCAGCAGTGGATGGTTTATCTTCGCATCCTCCGAGGCTCATCGTGATATATGGTGATGGTATCAGTGAGGCTCAGGTGAGAGATTAGATATCGATGGAGCTCAGTGATTGCATCGTAGGAGATTCTGCCATCTAGGGAGGCTAGGGAGGCTCTCAATGCTTCTGACCTTATCAAGGAGAGTGTGCCTATGGACCTGCCGATGGACGGATGTAGGTGGGATGCTGAGTGTACTGCGGAATTTAGTTCCCGAAAATAGCTGTTATCACGTAGCCTCAACTAGTGGACATGACGATGATGTGAAATGTTGGGGCCGGACGGAGGACCTCCGTCAGTGGTCACCCGTCGGCTTTCCGCAGCACTCTTCGACAGAGATTAGTGACCTCTGGTCACGGTCCATTTGTTATTCCAGAGCTAAAAGCCAACGGTGATAGTGGTGGATCAGAATCTCCAGCAACCAACAGTCCACTTCTGTATGGTTTGCTCATCCATTGAACATATATCTGCGGAACTGCAGACAGAGACGATCGATCAGGCACGAGTCACTACCTTATCAGAACAGGGTGTAGTGTTGACTTGAAGACCCTGCCCATCCCACATATTTCCATACCACCTTGTGTGAGTCGGCAAGTGAGAGATGGGGCGAGCTGTTGGCCGACTACTGAAAGGCTGTGTCGTCTTGGTCAGGTGGAAGCTGTGGAGGAGCCGAACCCAGTGGTTACGAGACCGAGTGAGAAGTCTGATACCCGACGCTTTGGATTCGATTCTCTGTTATTTCGGTTGAACACAGCCTAGTAGTCTCGTTTCAGATGAGTTTACAACAGTGAGGCATCTAATAGAGTATCCTGAGGTTGACCATAAGTTGATGCATGAATTCGAGGATGCCTGTACACGATATGATGAGTGGATGGAAGCTCATAGGTGGGGGGGGATGCATTGGAGATCCAATCATTGTGGCGATGAGACTCGTCGACATGAGACATGACATTTTAGAGTCCCAAAACATTCATTTCTTTAGGGGGTTGCACGATGAGCTTGCCGCCCGTATGCAAAGGGAGGCCGAGGCTAAGGCTGCTGAGAAGACGAACAAGAGGAAGAATACGAAATCATGAAGATGATAACATGACCACTGATAGTGTTGTGATTTCGTGCATTCATGTGGTGTTGCGCACGACTCATTTTCTCGGCAGCTGTTGAGAGTTCAATGCTCTCCCAAGCCGATACGTTGAACCCATGTTTTCTGGTATGACCATTCTCGCGGTGTTCGGCGGGGCTGGTCAGTGGACAACAGAGGTGGCAGGCGGAGATACAGTAGCGGCATTCCCATGTGGTCCGACTGGACTAATCTGTACCCATGCGAAACGGTTCTGCCGTATTATATCGCTCCCTTCCTGGCATAACGGAGGAGTCCGAATTATTACCATCTTTATAACAAATTATCCACTTGCACGATCCGTTGAATTCATCGTGCATTCTTTGGATTGTGCATCAGCGGGGGCTCCGAACACCAAATGCATTCTTCCATGCTTCTACTAGCTTTTAAACACTGTCCAACCATAAGGACGCGATATTTGTGAGATGATTGACGTGATTTTTCGTGCGTGCTGTCTGGTCATAATCGTTCTCAGCCGCGTTGACATGTCAACCTGACATGCTCACTATCTCGTATGATTTTGGATGGTGCTTGGGTGTGGTATAGATTTGTATGCGGAAAATGCCTCTCGGAGATGGTGACGGCTGTTGGAAGGGAATTTTATCCGAAGAAGAGGATTCAGAAGTAAGACTGACCTATTGTACCCTCCTCCTGCGTTCACTTGTATTATCGCTCTGTCGCAATATGTAAACATCCCTTCTTCCCCACTCATTATAGATTATGTGGCCTACGAGTCGTACCCTACGACTCTATCGTTGCCGTCGATATCCGTCGCTTGTCTTTCTCAGCATCCGGGGATTCGAATGGATAATTTTCAGTTGACCTACGGGTTTCTCCTACTAGGAAAATTCTTGAGAGGAAGTTTGCTCAGAGATAGATAGTTCCTGGCACATAATCGGAAAATCAATGCAGCTGGAATATGCCGATTGATTCACTTGAACATCAAACCGTAATGGTATGTGCGGTGGACGGTCTTCCTAAGAAGAATACAACATAAGTTTCTGGCCAGAAACTTCAAGTGAACGGAATCTGTCAGCTCAAAGGTCAAAACCACTCGAACTCCTAAATTCAAGGAAGCCTTTCGCGAACGTTTCGAACCGAAACCGTCATTCAACGCAAGAGCCGCACAGACTCCACAGACTTCAATGCATTTACAAATACGCACCTATCCAAGAACTTTCGCAGTCCTTGGAGAAGTACATGTGCCATGCGTTCCCGAGAGATCAGAACCCCACATTCATTGTCTCCTCAAGCCGATATTCTTAGACTATATGGCGCTTGCGAATGGTGTGGTCTTTCGAGGATGGCTTGGGCTAAGGGCCGATCTAATCTCTTTTGCTATGCTCACTCGGAGTAGTCCACATGATTGTATCACAGTGTACGGGGAATATCAGTTTTGATTTCTATCAGTATGACGACTAATGATCGACCGACAGGTGCCGGGAAAGATGCTCATGGATGGAGCAAAAAAGAAGTAGGTTGTGATTCATCGTCAGTGCTAGATTTGTGTACTTTCCTACCAGCTTGAGTAATTTCCGTGATGAGTCAATCATCGGCGCTCTGATGGCTGTTGTCTCCAGGTAGAGGTAAAGTGTATCGATCTCGCGGCAACATGGCAGAATGCACCAGGTGCCGATGCGATGCTGAGTACAGCTGTGAAGTGAGTACCGCGCGCCACGAAATGACGCGGAAACCTTTTGATGTACATGTTTATCTATGCCGAGCTCCCACTTGTACGATCTAGCTGTTAGAAGCAAGCGCTTTGACTGAGAGCAGGGTTTCCGTAGATTGGCTGCAGAAGTAGTGGGCAGACTTGAGAAGGAATCAGCGGAGAGGGAATACATTGACGAGGAGTCGAGTGTGCCGAGCGTGGTAAGTTCAGCAGGATTGTTGATACACGATTAGCTGGTTGAGGACACCTTTGAGGACGAGTTGTCGTTCGTATGTGAAGTTAACTGAACGCCGTCTCGTTGGTTCGATAGGTCTCGGCCGCTGACAACATATCTCAGCAGGATGCCCAGGTAACGAGAGAGATCAAAGTTGGGAAGAGTAGAGATGCCGAAGGAGAAGTGGGGAACCAAGTAGGCCATTCCGCTCTTCGATGGTCGATAGATAGTTCCTGCTCCGATGGGTTTGACTGCCTTCTGAAAGGGACTTCATGCCCATTGAATTCATCGACAGTTTGGCCGAGTGGTCTAAGGCGCTGGCTTAAGGCGCCAGTCCGAAAGGGCGTGGGTTCGAACCCCACAGCTGTCATAGTATATCCGTTCCATTTGGCATTTTGCTCATTATCATAAAGTAGGTATTTCACTCACTATTTCAGGGTCAGACGACATCCATGGACCCATATAATTATTTCCAGAGCGAACACGGTCTAAACTTCCTCGTTGAAAATCGGATTCTAGGCGTGAAGGTGAGTTACCAGATTCACTCGTAACGTCGTGACGGACCTGGGATGTTTTGTGGTATGCGCTGGTCGCCGTCGTCATATTGCTGTTCAGGTCGAACCATCGCAGCTTCCACCTAAGCCTCTACCAGTAGCAACAGGGGGAGCGATCGTCCTTGAGTCGTAACACTTGTCAGAAGTTGGAAGTTGTCGGTAGTCGAGAAAAGCGAGCAGCCTTTAGTCGGAGATCTCCTTGGGACCCTCTACTCCCACACGAATGGGGCAAGATGGAGAAACTTATCCAACAAAAGCAACAGGAGGAAGCTCAGGTTTGTTCAACTAACAAGATTTGTGATCACACGCCATAAGAGCTGCTGTCTCCTTTAAGGTAGAGGGAAGTGATACTGTTGAAGAACCGAAGAATTCAGGGTGTCGGGAAACTCCAGATGAGGTACTGATATGACCATCGGGGTCGACGGGCAATGAGTAGTATTCCTGCAGGTGGTGCTGGATGGAAGTCAAGGAGAGAAGGACGATTGTTCGGAGGTGATCAGTGGACAGGTGATGCACAGAGACCACGTGTCCGAGGTTGGTAGTTGCTAGACTGTTATTTTCATATCGAGCTTATATCCTCTAACGAGTTCTTCATGGGCATTTCGATCGGTCAGGCAGTGATACTAGTACGCGCAGGTACTAGGTGGTATCATTCCAAAGGGACCTCATCCTGATGAGAAAGGCGTTCAGTGGAACGTGTATGGAGACCCTAGGGATGCCGAAGATCCATCCGAAGGTATTCGCTTCTAGGATATACCATCGTTGGGCATGTTGATCTACATTGATTCTGATTTCCCCTCGTTCGAACCACATTAGGGTGGTTTCTCTCGCCTGCTGATGCCTGATGTCGTGCTGCGTGTTCGATATTAAATCGGTTTGTAGATGCGTGCTTGGTTCCCAACGAGAAGTTTATCACTTTTGAGGCGCCTGTGGATCGCCGCGTTCGAACGTCCAGTCAGGCGAGGAAGTTTGAGGGAGTAGAAGCTCCCGGAGCTATGGAGGTGACTCGCTGGAGTTGCTACTGTCCATGCTCTCGCTGGGAGGGGATCCGGGTTCGAACCCTGGTTGCGTATTCGTAGTTACGTAGAAGCGGCGGCCACGCTGGTCTAGTAACTCGCTATATTCAAGGTTAGTGCAGCCACTGTAAAGTCCATAGAATGGTCTGTCCGATGCGCAGGAAATATTGATGGTGACGGTGCGCCCGAAGTTGAATACATTACTGGTTCGCTACTGGGCCTTGGTGATCGTCGAAGACTTGTCGAGGCGAGTCTTCGTTTTCTCCAAATTCACATAGTATAGGGATACACGTTTGATTTCTCCGTATTAAATTTAAAATTCACACACGACTTGCGGTAGAAGTGTACGAAACTATTTTTATTTTTGTCGCCAACACACGAAGTTGATTATGTGCGTCTTTTCCTACATTGCAGTCGACTATCGCATTCCTTAGGCTACCCCGGCACGCTTGATATTCGGCTGTGTTCGACAGTATGGCATCTACAGGATGTTGGTGAAAGTGCGGAATCTCGACGCTGACGTTACGAGGTTACAACTCAATTTTGTCGTGCAATTTTCGACCTCTTTGATACTCAGATTAAAAGTCAGAGTTATGGGGAACGCCCCGTCGAAGGAATCAATTGTCCGTCCAGTGTAACTAATTAATCAGTTTTTCCTATCAGTTCTCGGTTATTGACTCACTGACAGTTATCGACCCGGGCCTCTGCCGCCAGGGCTGGCCATGTACATCGGTGTAGAGTTGATCGCTCGGGAGGCCTGCAAAGTTGAAGTAGTTCTGCAGATCGCCGCTAAAGGGCAAATGGCACAGATACCAGTTCAAGGGGAAGTGGTAGGCCTCAGGCGGTAGGGTTCGTCGCTGCTGTAATCCTTGTTGGGACAATCCGTGCGATTCTGCCGACGCGATATGGGTTGGCTCAGGTATCACAAGAAGATTACAACAATGCTCGAAGTGGTTCGATCAAAGTGTCGACGAGTCGTTGCGTGAGGGACGGGTACGGGTCTGCCGAACCATGGGGAGGAGAGGTTGTTAGTGTGATGGATGAGAAGTGGGATACGGGAGTGTGCCCTTGGTGATGTTTTACCCATAACTTTTATTCCTGAGTGATCCTGTGGCGTAACGGTAGCGCATCTAACTCCAGATCTGAAGGTTGTTCGTTCGAATTGGGCCGGGATCATCTTTCCTCAAAGCAGTGTATGCACATATTGCGTTCCAGGTACTGCAGGCATTTCTTGGGAGACAGCTGGCGACCCTTGGAGACTTTCGACAGCCAGCACTTTGAAGTGCTCCACTGCCTTTCATTGTCACTACTCATTATTCTGAGTACTAGGTGTCAAACTCTACCATAAATATTGAAGACACGAGCTTGCAGTTGAGCACTTCGATTGAGGCCTCGGTTACTCAAGTGGGTCTCCCTCAATCGTCTGAAATATATATGTAACGGTTGACACGAACCTGTGACTGTCGTAGTCGCGAGTAAACCATTACAGGCGGCTCATAGTATAACATGACGACACTACTCCCACATCGTGAAACGGAACTCGATTCGAGACTCGAAATTCTTGTGATATTTGACGACCTCAGCTAAATATCCGTAGGGGAAACTTGCGAGCGCCTTAGTTCGTTCTGTAGGCCCTTGATGCTGAGCATTCGTCGCTGACCGAAGATTAGCATCACCATGCATGTCGTTGTCGTGAACTGTCACTGGTGCACGGAGAGTGTCTCGCGTTGGTTCGATTCACCACCCAGCCAGGCAACTGAGCGGCACTGTCTAATTGTGCTGAAAAAAATCGATGATGAAAAATATGGAAGTAGCAAGCTGTTACGATGGCAACTCGATGGAATGAATACTAATAATAGTGTTAACACACTGTAACACACTGTAAGTCATATAATCGACGCGTTCACTTTCCACGGTTGGGGTAGGAGCAGTGAGGTAGACAAAGTTCACTAGTTCAATGACGGTTGCATCAGTCGATGAGCACCCAGACCTGGTAGAAGGGCGCATCGGTCTTGAGGAGTTCATTCCTTTCTGTTTGCGATTGCGTGTGAATTTCCAAGGCAATCAGGATGACCTTCGAGCCTTCTGGACGGATGTGTAAGCGAGGGGTCGATCGGTGGGGCGCTGGAAACCAAACCTCTACTAGAGTTTTCTCATGCAATTACTATAGTGTGATTACTACACGCTCTCCATATAATGTGATGGATGGTTCATAACACGAACAGTGATATAATGAACAGGCAATACAATGTTCGTAATAGTGTCTATGAACCAATAGTTCTAAATCGACATCGTGTAAATACACCTCACAGATAACAGTCGTAATGGCCTGAGTAGGACTTTAAGAGTGCACACGAGGAAGATGAGAAATTGAGATCTGCTGCGGATCGCCGAGCTCGCCTTTGAAAGGTTCGAGGCGTTCTTCTTGGAGCACCCCGCGCAAGAAGGGGTTGACCGTGACGTGTTTACAACAGTGTGGCCAGCAGTGGTGGAAGACATCGAAGGTGATTCGATAAGTTGCCTTCGACTCTCCTCCATCCTGGGCGCATCAAAAGCCCTGCGAGAAATGTCAGATCTGTGGAATGAGTACACAGCGAGGACACGCGAAGCCCCGAAGGGCGAACCGACGAGGACACGCGATAGGGAGGTCTCACGCGCCTCTGATACGATAGAAGAGGATAATACACCAGTGAGTAAGAGCGTGCTGTTGCTTTTGAGGGCGTTTGATCAGCCTACCCAGAGGGAGGAGGAGTACGTCGTCAACCGAAGAAGGATGTTGTCCGCTGCTAGAGAGACTAAACGACGATTGAACAAGTTCGATCGAGTTACCACGGAGAGGAACAAGTAGCTTTTCCGATGTTTTCAATAGTATTGAATCAATAGCCACCGGGTCTTTGATTTGCCTCGCTGGAAGCCTGATGGAGCAACCTACTGTATCTGTCCATGATAACTTCCAAGAATTCTTTCATAGCGATTGCTGATCGATTTGTCAGAGGTTCAAGCAATAGTGCAGTGCCTTCGAAAGAGGATTCTGCGGTGGTTAGATCGCTCAGGAGTCAGCTGGCTCGGACACAGGCCAGACTGACTCGAAAAGAGAAAGAGAAGGCGGATATTGTGCAGAGGTCCTCTTGCTACGAGATCTTGGGTTCGAATCCCACACGTGTTATTTGAAGATACACCAAGCATATGGCTTCGCAGAGTAAACAGTTAGATACGTTGTTGTTAACAGCACAACAGAAGGTGTTGAACACTACAGTGGTGGAGGTGACCGATCTAGCATAGCTCTACAGTGTGTCCTATTGTAACCACAGAAAGCTGACAAAGGGGTAAGCACGGTCCCGGAGAATCCGATGGCGAACACCAAACCCGAGGACAATTCGTCTCGTGAACGTGAATCAAGAATGGCTCCACGGACCTCATCGGCGACCTGGATTGAGTAGTTGCTGCTCCAACGGCTCGCGATTGGAGTCCCGACGTTCTAGAGTTGTTCGCCCGAGGATCATCGATGAACTCGGAGGTGGTGACCCCCAGCGAGCTTTTGCCGTTATGGATATCACGAAGAGCGGTATCGTTACTAAATATGAGTTTGATAAGGTACGCAGTAAAGTTTTTGGTCTTCTCTTGACGTCCTGCCTTGAAAAAACCTTCGCTTCGTTCAGCCAGGTTTGAACCTTTCGATTTCTATCAGGCGATCCATGGTATCCCAGGGATTGAGCTTTCGGACGATGAAGTTCATAAGATATTCGAACGCCTTGATGTGGAGAACAAAGGCATGTCTGACTACGCGTTCTTTGGACCGCGACATCAGGATTCCTGCTACCAGCCGACTTCGGCATAACTTCGGCAAGCAAGCCTATGGCGAACGGCCGGCCCACGTCGCTACGCAGAAAGCCTCAGGAGAAGCGAAAACGGAAGAGTCGTCCTCGTGGCACTTCATTGAATGACAGAATTTTCACTTGGGCTGCGGGCCGCCCGTAAGACCTGTGCTGAGTGTCGAGTTGCAGTAGTTGGGAACTTCAGTGCAACAACACTATCATGAATAAACGTTAAATTCCCGGCCACAAATCGCCGTGATGCTGGAAGCAATCTGATGCAGTGTAACACTGAGTAATGTAGCCGATCGAATCGAACCACTTCTAGCCTCTGTGAGGGATTCTATTATTGAGGGGGCATCGATGGCGCCTTGACCTTTTCAATGCTGTTATGTAACGCACGTTTATCCCTCCACTCTGTTCAATTCGGAGTTGTGCGGAGCGGACACGCCTCGGAATCTGAGTTTATTGCGATGCTCCAGATCTTATTCTGATTCCTTCTCCGTTGGATGTAGTATTCATAAACAGCGGCAACGTCATCTATGAAGTGCTCGAAATGCTCGCCTCCCTAGTACGACGCTACGCCTCGTGCTGATCGTGGAGACAAAGTGCGTGAGTTCTCTCTAGGATACTCCGCGATTATCTAGCACGACATCCCAAACGGTGATCTAAGTCATTCCGACGGAAGTGACTGGCGTCCTAGTGAAACCAACCTTTGCAGCCATCGACTCGACAAGAGGACAGGATTCATCATCAATTGTCAAGGGGTTAGCAATCGCCCCAATTGGGATGTTGGCAGCAGACTTGCCAACGGTGAATATTTGACATCACCATTTTGGAACGCGTACAGGTTCGTTTGAGGTTGCCTTGAATGCGAGCAGCTATATAGAAACAAATGTGAGCAATTCACTGTTATCAGTCGCACCGAGCCGGATTGGCGTCCCGCTAAAATTCAAAGTTTAACGAAATTTCAAATCTTAGTGAAATTTTACGTGAAATCTCAAGCCTGAAATTTCAGCAGCAACATCTCCTGAAATCTGCGAACCCTGCCTATGACGATCTAGGCAGCCGCCTCCAACGGTGATCGTGTCTGTCTCTACCTTATTTTCTCATCGTTGATCTATCCGTATACGTTGTACACTGTACGGTGTGCGGCAGGCTTACACCGCACAAGGTTGTGTGGAATCTTGTTCATTGAAAGCGTTTTAGGCGATGTACGCGAGTTGATCGATGTTGTTAAAGCAGAAGGACCCCGGAATGAAGGGAAATTCTGCGGATCTTTCCTTCCGGTAGCATCGGGAAATGTTTGAACTTTGATAGCGAGTTGTAAACATCTTCTGATGACTAACTCGTCATCTAGCGCCGATGCCACCGGCATCATGCCACTGGCATGATGCCAGTGTTGAGTTGTTCACCAGTCGTGATTGGCTTGATCAAGAAGACGCTACACACTGGTTTGCATCGCTTGAACATGGAACGAATACTGTTGCCTGTATAGCCTTATTGTTCATTTTCCAATAATTCTCATGGTAAGCCTGCTAGCTACCCTCGTTCTGGGTGCTGTCTGGTGCACAGGAGCCTTCCCATCAGGCCCATATTCCAAGAAGCTCGCGAATGGCTTTTGCATAGAAATAGATGCTATGTCCGATTTTACCATTTGGGATATTATCCGCTGTGGACCTCACAAAGCTGGTGGTGCGAACCTGAATGTTACAGGGAACAATCCTTATAACGTCGCACCAAGCAGTGACAAAGATTATGACGAGCTCTTCAAGTTCTTGATTGGCAATTGTGGGCCTGCGCTGAAAAGTAAGGGTATGCACTGGTTCATTTACGACAAAACTCATGATACTATAATGACGGCTTTTCTGGGAATACCTCAAGTTCTGCAAAGAGGGTACTGTTGAGATAATAGATAACCATCACTATCTGCTATGTCTTACTTGTCTCACCTTATTCGTCAGTCTAAATAACAACAAACTGGTGTCCTCGCTGCACCGACTCACATGTGAAAGGCTGCCACCTTGTTGAGCCTCATTTAGCCAACAAGGCTTGTCCTCAGTAACACAAACTATTTTGCGTATATTTTAAAGTCGTATGTTAGCTGGACATAAATGCTCGCTTTTCACAGCAGATAGGATTGTTGAGTTTTGAATACATTATGTATTATACATGGAGCTCATCTATCTCTCTCTCTCTTTCTCGCTCGCTCGCAGCCGTCGTACGGCTAGGCGACTCCGAGCTACACCTAGTGCAGCAACGGAGTTTATGAGGTCAAGTATAGGGCTGACCAGACCGCGCAGCAGAAAAAAAATATACAGTAGGCTTGCGCCTATAATAGTTGCATTGATACCATTGATACACAGCAGAACGTGCATTCATGCCCTTCATTGTTTTTTCTTTTTTCTCTTTTTTTTCTTTTTTTTTCTTTTTTTTACCTTCTTCTTTTTTTCACACCATATGATGCTTCAGCGGCATGTTACAGCCCAAACGGATCCTCCGCTCCCACAAAGTTCTATTTTTTGCTGTGCTCGTTTTAACGCCTGTCTCTATCATGTCATGTTTGATCAACTCTAGCCACGACAGACGAGGCCTACCTGGGCGCCTCGAGAATCCATTGTGCACTCTCGGGTTCCACTCTAATAATCTCTTGGCCACGTTATCATCCGGTGATCTCATTAGATGTCCGTACCATCTCAATCTTCTCGCACGGAGTTCATCCAAACATCCTGCTGAACGTGTACGAGCGCAGAGCTCCTTGGAAGACATCGTCGTCATCAGAGGTAACCGAATCAGTGATTCGGAATCACTTTCCTTAAGCATGTATTGTAGAACGTCTTATGCATTTGTGTCTCCTCCTTATTAAGGGCCATAGTCTCCGATCCATAGAAGAGCGAAGCAAAGACGACGGACCTCATCACAATCATCTTACCTCGAATACCGATGTCGTGGGACTTCCAGATGTTGTGGAGCCGATGAAGGTTGCCCCCCGCGACTCGAATTCGATCAAGCATTGCCTTCACGTATCCAGCTTCACTAGATATCAAGACTCCCAATTGTCGCTGCACCGACTCACATGTGAAAGGCTGCCACCTTGTTGAGCCTCATTTAGCCAACAAGGCTTGTCCTCAGTAACACAAACTATTTTGCGTATATTTTGAAGTCGTATGTTAGCTGGACATAAATGCTCGCTTTTCACAGCAGATAGGATTGTTGAGTTTTGAATACATTATGTATTATACATGGAGCTTATAGTATATATACTATCACGCATAGGACCGGACTGATAGGCTGGACTAATATTAGCTAGACTACCCCTCGGTGGCCAGCTAGCAGTAGGCTTGGCCGCCTGGCTAGCCCTAGTACCAGTTGGTCGACTGATACTCTGGCCGGAAAAAAAGACTTACAGGGTGCTGCGAAGAATAAAACCACACCCTCCCTCGGGGGGAGTCCCCCCGATGTTCTATGTTGCGCGAACATGTTGAAGAGAACCAGCATTCGAAAACTCTCAGTACGTTCTTTCTAAGTATTGCAATGCAACGAATGCATCGAAATGGTTCATGAATTCCGTCCCATTGTGAGAATCTCATATAATAATAGAATTACTATATGCCTTTATGCTAGGCTTTGGCAGGTGGTTCTTCCGGCGGCACATGGCGTTAGTTCAACGGCGTTTATTTCACTCGGCCCGAGTCAGCAACAGCAATCCCTCAACCCCTCTTCCTTCTCAATTCCTTCTAACGCTGGATCACCGACATAAGTGATTATGAGACTGCCGACCGTGGGGAGTGCTTCTATCGACAGTGTCGATTCGACACTCCTCGCTTGAGCATGTGTTGTTGATACTCCAAATGTAGGCGATGGCCGGAATACTGCTGTGAGGTTTTCCAAAATTTGCGGAGATGTGACTTGTAAGGAAGAATTGCTCTGCCACTGCGAGCGTATGTGGCAGTACCATCCGAGCCCCTTATCTTTTTTCGGAAGCAGAAATTCTGGATATTCTCCAGTGGATAACACAGTAATGCAAAGTAATGCTCAGCGGGTAGCCAATACATCATCGAGCCTGGATGATCGAGGACCTCGATTCGAGGTGCAATAGCTCGAGAGCTCGGTACGAGCTCGGACTCCGGGAGTCCGGGCGGATCTACTGTTGTGACTAACTCACCATACGTGTGCGCCCTCAACTGCGAAATAACTACGTACCTAACTTGTGACTTACATACCAGACCGCAGGCACGTAGCTTCAAACGCCACAAGCCTGTATCCGCTGTATTTTAGAGTCCTCCTACTACACATACAACCAGCGAATCCATCTCTGGAATCTAGAGTTTGGACCTCCAGAAGATCATCTCCTGTGACTGAGCTAGGAGGATGCGGGCTGTTAATTGCATCCGTTTGTTCCAGGTACCCATTGTATTTAGTTTTTGTTGACTAGTATGTAGTCGTTAATACAAGTCATATTCTTCCAGGCAGTTTTTATTTGGAACCTACTTTGCGTTTTGCTCGTAAGACCTACCCTCAGTGATTGTTTCGTGTTAGGTCCAAACGAAACAATCAGGTCCAGAGGCGGTCGTATCCCATGATTGAGCGTGTTGGAGAGAGTTAATTAGGACCCGAAATCACCAAGCTTGGCGAGCTGGTGAAACCTGGTTCTTCGATTTTACGAAGATATGTCTTAAGAGGATGCTCACGGTCTTCTGTAGCAAGTGACTCATAATCGCATAATCCACAGTCTATTACTAACGATTTGTCTACTTTAGATCGTCCCTCTTGCCTTGAACATGACCTGAGCCCCGTCAACGCGAGAATCTTCCGCGCACTATAGATACGAAGCGGTCGAGAGATCTTTCATAGCAGGTATACCAATCGATTTCCCCGGGCTTGGAGCTCCCAAAGTACAATTTTCATTGTCATTCGCTCATTGAGTTCTTAGTTCTGTCATTTTTCACTACTTGCTTATCAAACCCAAACGCACTGTAAGAATGAATAGTATGTTACGTAGATAATATTAACTAGGGTCAATAGCGTGACGCTATGAGATATGCATCTATATTAGAGACGCTATGAGCGTCTCTAATATAGATGCATATAAATGTAGAGCAATATAAACTCTATATTGCTGCCAGCAGAATGACCTTCCCAGCGTGATCCCTGGATCATCCATAGATTTCAATCATGTATCAACAATCAGTGACTGATTATAAGTCACGTGCAGGATGAAATATGACGAGAGTCGTAAGATTTCATCCTCAACGTTACCATGGCTATAATA